ATCTAATCCATGATTCCAACAGTTGCATTTCATACCATGCTGTACGTGTATAGCAGGATGCACAATTGTGGGATCAAGCATCAGATCCCATTGCACCACTGAGTAGCAGGCTTGGCTCCCTGCACTCCCATCCCCCAGGAATTGCAGCCAGTTAATCACAGGAGAACCAGTTAATCACATCTTAAATGTAACACCTGTCAGAGGCCTTAGTTGCAAACACTGAATTATATAGTTATGTAGGGAGCAATTGCTGACTTCGGAAACTTGGTTCCAGATCCTTGAAAACTTGTAGGTTCCAAATCTTTGAAATTGGTTGGAGCAAACAAATGTATAGTCCAGAAATGCATAAAAAACTCAGATTTTGTGAAGTGGTGGGGGTTTTTCCATTTTCCACCAGAGCTGAGTCAGCTCTTTTTAAATACGTCTTTGTGCGTACAAGGAAAATGCCCTGTTTTTGCAAATACCGTTCAATAAATGCGCTGTCCTAAATGACATTTAAGCACATATACTTATGTATGTGAGAACTATGAAGAAGTGCACGTAACAAAGTGGCCTTAATATATAATTGTCTCAGTTTTTTGTAAGGTCACCCATCCCTTTGTATCTGTATCCCTTCTTCCCACTTCCTCTTCCTACAATTATTTGTTTTCAATTTTTGTGTAACAAACAATTAGAGTTTAAGCTCTGTAGGGACTTTGCCTATTTAATTGCCTGTGCTGAGTATTGTATGACTAATGAGAGAGAGAGAGAGTATAAATACGTATCTGGGTATTTTTCTTAGCTTCTATTTTTTTTTTGCACCTCCTCCTCTGCTCGTCTCACACAATATTTTATTTTGTCTATCTTCTTTTCCTCTCAACTCAATTTCCCCAGGGACTGTTTGCTTCTAAATATAGAATGTTAGCCCAGAAATACCCAGATTAGTAGGGTTTGTCATTCAAATCCAGGATTTTGTGGGTCTTTTGCAAAACCCAACAACCAAAGTCCACTAATTAAAATTAATAAACCAAATTTCTGACAGATCCACATCAGTGAAACAGAGGTATCTTTCTGTTTACTGCTTAAGCTCTGGCTCTACAGTTTCTTCTACATATGCATAAATTCTATATGTGTCAGTATTCTCAGTAGTTTCAATAGAGCTGTTCAGGTGTGTAAAATAATGCATGAGGAGAATTGTTTTGGGGCTTGGATTTGAAATTTGATTAGATGATAGCCCATGTTTCTTTCTACTTCTTTTCATCATGGGATACACTGTTTATTCACAACAATTAATTAGGGCCCATTGTTCTGTTGCCTGCATGTCTGCAGAGGGGCATAAGGGGAGGTTCCCCCCATCCATACTCCTGCACGACTTACCCCCTGTTCCTGATGCATGAATTTGCAGCAAGCACATGTGTCCTCCTAGGCCAGACATTAATATAATCATGTGGTGGGATCTGAGGCATTTTATCCCAAAAATAGCATGTCCTGCCATGCCAGACATTCAAGCTCTGTCATGGCCGGACCTACAATTTTGAATATCTGATATAAAATTCTTCAGATCCCATTGTGTGTCTGCCACTGCTCAGTGAAGGTGGCCCAGGGACCAGCTTCCAGCTGCATGCACTCATTTTGACCATGTCAGCCTGTGGGGGAGCCTAACATTTGGGCGGGTAGGTGCTCCCCAAACCTAGGCTCCCTCTGTGCATAGACATTTAAATGTCATGTGTGCATCCCATCCACACCTGTGTCCTTTGAACAGGGTGCCCAAGATGAGGGAGCTGCTCCCCAGCCTCAGGTACCCTGTGAACTAGCATGTTGAAAGGGCCTGCTTGCAGCCCAACCCAGCTGCACACAGGCTTTTCAAAGCTCCAGGCAAGGAGCCAAATCGAATCAGCGACCGAGGCTTCGCATAACCCTACCAGTCCCCCTGCACTAGGCAGGAAAAGACAACTAGGGTTAAGTGACCCCAGCAAGGTGACTGTCCTTTTGAAGGTTTCCGGAGTAGGTGACTGCACTACCACTGGCGGGAGTTTATTCCACAGTCTGGACAACCTGACCATGAAGGGGTTTTTCATTGTTGACATTCCCTAGATAAATTGCCTTTGTAGCCTAGTGAAGGTATACTCGGTGGAAGCTGGCAAGTCAAGTTCCTGTCCCAACAATTTTTAAGGAAAGTACAGTTGTTTCGTTAATGAAATGTATAATATAGATTCCATATCTTCAAAAGGCAAATAGGGTCATCTTGCACAGTATTGCATAAATCAGTGAAAATGGAGGCAGGCATGAAGATTCACCTGTGAAGATTTCTTTGCAGAACTAAGTTTGTGATGTAGTTAGCAGAATCTTTATGACTTGGTTATTCAGAATTGTAATCATATCAGTACTGGCTCTCATTAGACTGATGACATTTAGTCTTGTCTGGTTTATTTGATCTGTTCTTGTGAATATTGAAAAAAATGTTAATCATTTCAGGAGAAGCTGTCTGAGGACAAAAACCACAAAGAAACTATGGAAGATGTTCATACGACAGCAGATGAGGGTTCAAGAAGTGAAAGCAGCAGTGCTGAAGAGGAAAAAGAAAAGACAAAATTGCTGTTACAACGATTGAAAGCTCTGGAGGTAAGAAATAAAACAACTTTACACCTAAAAGGTCCCCAGCTCTTTTATTGGTACTGAATCACAGTGTGGTATAAATCTTGTCTTTCACAGTTCACCTAGACTCATGTTACATAGTATTTTTTTATCATGATTCATTTACCAAGGATGAGCAAAAAGCTCAATTTTGAAACCACTGAAAGGATCCTTCTCTAATGTCAAGGATCATATATCCTTAAAAAGAACTTCATAAATAATTTTAATTCAGTTCCATCAAACCCACTGAGACTATATAATAAGAAAACTTGTCTTTCTATCTTTGTTTCAAGTGTTAATTGTGTAAATCTTGTATAGCATGCACAGTTTAATAACTGTCATAAAACCAGCATTGTTTCCCTGTAGTGTTTATTGCTGAATTTGCAATAGCTAGACTAGTTGCTTGAAGAAGCACTTTTTCTATAGGTAGTAGTCACTGTCATAATGTGGAAAATGTCACATTCCTTAGCAGACCACAAAGAGAACTGTTCACAGAGGTTACTTTGTGTATTTTTTTGTGGCATTGTTGAGAGTTTATAGGTAGAAAGTACGAGATATGATGACAGCTTCCCCCACTTCTACAATGCATGGCAATGGCAGTGAGTAAAAAGTGTTTCTGTTTTGTTAGGAGACAGCCAGCAATATGCAATCAACATTGAAATCTTGCAAATGCAAACCATGATGCAAGTTTAATTTTATGGAAGAGTAGTCGCATAGATTTCAACATGTGCATGGTTGCAGGATCAGAACATGGTCCCAAATAATGTCAAATTCTAAAGTTTTTATTCCATTCTTAAATCATTTTCTTCCATACTGTGCTTATCAGTCTGGAATACAAGGCCGCTTGTACACATGATGGAGGTTTAGTCCCCTGAAGTGAGATGGTGGGTTTTTAATTGTGACGATTAAAAACCTACTGTTTCAATTTAGGGGTTTCCATCACCGTTATGGTGAGGGGCCCTATACTGTTTTTTTTTTTTGTGGAGCCTGCCCACCTCTCCTGTGGCTGTGGGAAAAGGTGCTGGCATGCCCTGAGCTGCAGGGAGCCCTGGACCTTTCCTCCACGGCAGCAGCACCCCCCAGAGCTGCCTGGGCAGGTGGCTAGCAGGTGGGTACTGCCCAGTTCATAGGCAGCACTCAGCCCAATCCACCTGTTTCCTGAGCCCAAGCTGGGGCAGCACCCGCCGGCTAGTAGCCCTCCCAGGCTGCCCCAGGTGGCATCACCACCACAGATGGAAAAACCAGGGCTCTCTGCAGCTCAGGGACCACTTGGCCCACTGGCAACTCACCCTCTGGCGACGGGAGATGTGGGCAGGCTCCGTGGGGGAAAAAAAGGGATTTTGGCCCTCACCACTTCTGCCTTCAACCCGCCTTTCCTGCAGGGGGGGAGGAGGGGGAGGTGAGCTGTCAAGGATTGCAATGTTACAAATAGCAAACTAAACTATTTTGGATGTGGTTTAGTTTGCAATGTAATAAACTCGTTTAAATCATTAAAAATCCCTGCACATGTACAGAATGATGCAGTTAAACCGCAAAAATGGCCAATTTTGATCATGTGTACAAGCAGCCCAAGTGGTTTCTAATGATCTTAGCAACCACTTTGCTTGAGTAGAGGCTGAGTAAACTATGAATAAAGACTTCATCACATGGGCTATAGATTTTTGGTTAAGCAAAAAAGGAGGTTTTCCTTCTGTTTCTTACTCCACTTTCTGCCTTCATTTTCATTCCAGTCAAATTAAAAATCAAGCCAAATATTGGTGTCCAGGAAGTGTTTGTTTTTAAAAATAATAGAACATGAACAGGTGCTGTGGATTCAGTTCTAAATGCAAACGACTCTGATACTTAGTATTACAAAGGACATTTATTTGATTTAATTTATTTTATTTAATTGTAGTTTCACATTACTGTATACTTGAATTAAAGATGAGGGTTTTTTTCCCCTTCTGTCCTCCTTCAGCCTCTACCCCTTCCCGCAGCTTCTGTCCCCATCCCTGCTGCCTCTCAGGCTCTGCCCCATCCTCCCCCACCGGTTACGGTCAGGTGCAGCTCTGGCTCCATTTCCTCCCAGACATGCTCTGCCCGGACATGATCTCTGTGCCCAGGAGGAAATGGAGCCAGAGCCTCACCTGACAAGAGGTGGGAGGGGAAGGGACCAGAGACTGCAGTGGGGGTGAGAGGGGCATCAGGCAGGGGGCGGAGGTTGTAGGGTGCAGAGGCTGTGGAAGGGTGGGAGAGGGTGAAGTCTGAAAGGGTAGGTGGGGGAGAGAGGCTGTGGGGAGCAGGTAGGGGGTAGGGGCTGCACGGAGACAAGCAGCATGGGGTGTAGGCACAACTGGGGCAGGCTGCAGGGGGGACAAGTGGGGGGGGACACGTTGTGGAGCCACCTGCCCCCCTGCTGCTGTTTTCCCCACTGCAGTGGGGGGGGGGCAGGGAGGGCGACTAATTTAAGGCTACCCTCCAATAATTAGATTCTATATATGAAAAGTTATAACATATATAGATTCTAATTATTCAGGGGTTATCTTAAATTCAGAGTCATCTTGGATTCAGATGAATACAGTAATTCTCAGCAGCCCCCATAGAATAGTTATTTACTGTTAAGTAGACATTTTACCTGGATCCGCAAAATTTGAACAAGTCTTTTTTTCACTTGACTCTTGTTTTTATCAATTCATGTTGAATGACTTAAGTCTCCTTGCAGATTTCTGTTTCTAAATATGCATGATTTATGCTCCCTTGGCCTAGATCGCAATCAGTTTGCATGATTGTTTCAATTCTTTCTGTCCTTTCAACTGATAAGAAGTTGTTCAATAAAGTCATAACCCTTTTATTAATTATGGCAAACTGCCTAGAAGAAAAAACATAACACTATAGATGGACAGGATCTGGTTCTGGAAGGTCAGCTCCCTTCATTGATGTCAGCTTTGTGCAGTAGCTTGTAAAAAAAACACATATTAGCGAATGCCAATACTTCAAGAATTAATCTACATAAATAGTCTAAGGAGCTATCAAAGAAGAAAAATGAACTGCAGAGCCTACATTAATTGCACCCAAAGATAATTAAAACAAAGTGTTGTTAATTGTGTACTGGTTTAATGTTATATATCCTTGCCCTTGTTTTTTTTCTTAGGGATTATAAATTTTGATGTCAAAGACTGAAAGCTCTATGCTTTATTAATTAAGAGACATACGTTTTCTTAGTTACGTGCAATTAGCAGTTCTAGTCCTTTAGTATTGTGAGAGCTGTTAATCTTAGTCTTTCATTAGTGTGTTTGAAAAGAATACAAAAAATGGGTGTTTGTTACTTCTTCTACTATGGGTACCAGATTCCTTCATCTTGGATATTCACATTATTGCATTTTATTGTAATTAGTAAACATATTTCATAAAGTCAGCAAAATTAAAAATGGATATAGTAAAGTTACTCCAACCTTCTGCCCATTAGCATACATAAAAAGAAAATTACCATTAAAAAGGTAGGATTAAATTGTGCTCCACCTATTAGACTTAGTGGGGTTAGACAATCATACTGTGCATTTAGGTGCCTAAATCCATTTATATGCCTAATAGGGGGAGTAGCATATGGCCCTTAGTGACATCCACGTAAAATCATGTTTCCTTCATCTTACATTACTATCTGATGCAACCAAGAGAAGGATTTTGCTCATTCTGTTGGGATCATAGAAACACAGATCTGGAAGAAACTGTGTGCGTCTACACATGCTATTAATTCGAAGTAGGCTTACCGCACAGTGAAAATACTGGTCCTGGCTCCGTGATTAGAGTGAAGGCTGGGAAATTGCTTCTTGCCCCCAGGAGCTGCCTGCTGCCAGGATGGGCTCCAAGCTCATAGCCTGGCCGGGACAATGTACCCCTGACGTGGCAGCAGGCAGCTCCTGGCCTGCTTCTGGTTCTGGCTCCTGGCCTGCTGCCTGTTAGGGCTCTGAGCTCAGAGCACAGCCAGAACAATGTCCCCCAGTATGGGCTGTTTGTTTTATAGTCATACTCAGTGTTGACTGCATTTAATCAGGGGAAACACCATGACCACCAAGGCAGTTTTCCTAGTCGCACCTGGGGAAAACCACTGTCCAGATACAGGGTAGTATTCACGGAGGTAATATATAGTTAACCTCCCACTTCCACTTCCAATGGGAAGATCTTGGCTTTATGCCCACTTTATGGAAGTGGGAAACTCCTCCCTAGATCGCTCCTGGGGCCTTATGGCTAAGTCAAGCAAAACTCAGGAGCATCTGAATCCCAAGACTCCAGGCTTGGGCCTTCACGTAGGATGCCTGCCAAAGGATTTGGAAACATCTAAAGCCCCAGGTAGGGTAGAGGATGTTTGCCGGTAGTAGGGCCACTAATGGTTTTTGACTGATGTACAAATTTGGAACTGATCTGGCTGATTTGCCTTGGAACACGAAAATTTTTCCAAAAATAAAAAGTCCCCCTGCCCCAGCAGCAGGCAGCTCCTGACCCCAAATTGGGTAAGTTACAAATATAAATACCACACGCCGAGTCCTCTCTGCCGCCGGCGTCAGCCGTCGTTCCATCCCCTGGCTATCCCCCCCCTCTGCTGCTGTGGCCGCCATTTTTATTGCTGCCGGCCGGCATCTGCCACTGACATCACCGGTCGACCGTAATTGTATAAAGAGGCGGCTAACGAGCCACGCGGGTTCCTCTTTCCGCCCCACGTGCATCTTGCCCCGAGCTGCCAGTGAGTGCCGTGCGTTACTTTGCCTCCTGGGACACAAGCACAATTAGTATTTAAAGTAGACTTATGGCTACAATACTTAGAGGTACCTAGAATAACAGACAGTAAAATAGGAATAGTTCATCTAGACACAGTTTAAATTGTATTCTGGTTCAGATGGGAATTAGCAAATACCTCCGTATCCTCATTAAACTAATAAAAGATAAGATAAAACATCTAATTAGAAATAATTTAATATCTGAGACTTATATTACCCTTTTATGCCTCTTTGTAT